TCTTGATATAAAATTTATACCTAAGTCTATTTTGGCAAACATCAAATTAAACTTGTAAGTATAAAGGAAATAAGAGTGTCCTTGACCTCCCAAGGCTTAGATGATCAGCAGTTTCTAAATGACATTCCTTGAAAGTGAACTTTGATTTTTTAAGAACTGGGCGTGAGGCTGTAATCAAGGCACTGAGATATTTAGATGATTTAGAAAAGCACAAGCTGATCTACCATCATTCAGCTTGCAGGATACCTTTATCTTCTGTAAGTAGTATGAAACACCTTTGTTTTTGTATTGATTCTATTCCTTTGGAACATTATAGGTTTTGTCTTGTTATGTTGCCTATAGTCAAAGGAAACGATTATGGAATTTACAATTACAGGAAGCAGGTCATTAAAGGGGGCCGGGTTGGTTTTATTAAGGATCTGCTTTATTTCTATTGGAACAATTTTATGCACACAACAGCATATCAAATAGAATGCACCAGAGGATGATTTTAGGAACTTAGTTCAAAAGCCCTCTCAGGATTTTGCATACATTTTAAATAATACTCAGCTAAACACGTAATCACATGTTTCTCATATATTTTCAAAAATCCCATATGGTTAGAAATTGCTGCCAGATTTCCCTGTTTTGATAAACAGAATGACATTTAATCAAACAGTCCTGAAAAATACCTTCTTTCTTGACTTTATACTCAGGCAAGTTAATAAAGTCCCCATTTCAGATGATGAAATGACACACTGCCTGCTCCTATTCCAGTTTTCTGCCTCAAATGTCTTCCTGGAGAGACTCCATGTATGCCAGCCTTCTCAAGGATTTAAGAGTATTAAACCAAGGGTAGATGGTAGCTAGTGTTCTTTGATCTCACTGTATATGTCGTTATTCATTTTTTTCTTCTTCTTTTCTTTTCTTTCTTTTTTTTATATATGGGGGTCTCACTATGTTGTCCAGGTTGGTCTTGAACTCCTGGCCTCAAGCAATCCTCCCACCTCAGCCTCCAAAGTTTTAGGATTACAGGTGTGAGTCACCACACCTGGCCTGGTTGGTATTGATTTTTAAAAAGTAATTTGTTACTTGTTGTCCATGAAACTTGGTGTGTTCTAAATAGGTTGGTTGTTTCACTACATGACGTTCCATATATTTATAATCAATTCCAGTTAATAGGAATTCCAATAGAATGGCTGAAACAAATTGGGTAGAACAATTACTAACCCCTTTAGACATTATTATGTTAGGTTGAAATATTTTCTACACTGGCTCTATCTATGGGTCATTGCATCTGGCTATTTAGATCACAAGGAAATGTAATTGAACTAAAAATCTTAATCAATGAGAAACGGGCTGTTTTTGTTTTGCTTGGCTTTTTACCTGTCAGCTGGCTCCTCATCTTTGAGGTTTGCTCTGACAGCTCTGAAGCTTGGGCAATATACAACAATATAGGCAAAGTAAGGAAACAATTAGGTTGTATGATATTAATACATTCCCATCCTGAAAACCACAGTTTTAAAATATTCCTATTGTTTCCCCTGTCCTCTGCTCATTTGACAGTTACTACGAGCAGCTTTGGGCAGAGGGGGAGAGAAGTGCATATGTTGTCACCTGCCGCTCTGCTGCTTCCATAGCCCATGTTAGGAATGAGCATGGTGTAGATTAAGTACAACTACACAATAGTCATCAATTGCCAATGTTATCAATACATTAGGAAAGGGCTTTGATTTCCAATTAAGTACTGAATAATTGAAAGAAACATGTGTTGTTGCAGGTTGTTGAGAAACACCTCTACCTCCATTTACCCTTTTATTAAGAAACAGGGATAAAAAATATTGTGATATCAGGATATCTAGAATTTGGAAGATGTGGAATCATCCTGCTGAGTCCAAGGGCAATCCAGAAAATAAGCTGTGATTCAGACTCTGGTGTGCCCTGTAGATGCCATGGGTCATCCAGGAGCCTTGTTACCTGAATGATGAGGAGCCACCTGGGAGGAATTCATTCTAAGGTTAAAAAAAAAATGTCATCCTGGCATAGTGACTTTGCCCCAGTTCAAAAGCCCGGGTTGTTGAAGAGGAGCTGCATTTTAGGAATGGTATGTTTACAATGAGTGCTTGTGTTTCCCAGATTTTCCATCCATAAGGATCTGAACATTTTAGGAAGAGAGAGACAGAACTCTAAGAGCTGAATGAGCCACTCACTGAGAGTGCAGTAGTAGCTCAGCAGGTCTGTGTTGTCCAAACCCTGCACTTTCCAAAGAAAGGTCTGTTCTTTGACAGCCTTCCAGGAGATAACCTCTAAGCCCTTGGAATATCCTGCCTGATCATAATGTGTTTGTTTACCTGGAGCTTTGAGTCATGCTAGATAGTTAGTGCTGATGATTTATAGTGGGGGCTTTGGGCCACCTGGTATCAGTCTTGACCTCTGGAGGGGCTGGTGACTAAGTTCGGTCATGCAGACAGTCTGCCATGCCTTCATGCTCCCAAAACCACACCGGATGTCAGGCTTGGGGGAGCTCCCTGGGCAGCAATAGTCTGTGCAGGTTCCCTCACATCACTGCTGGAAGAATTAGACATCATTTGGTTCCATTTTCCAGCTGCAGAAAAACTGTACTGTTGGGGAGAAATTAATAATTGAGCTTAAATCAAAAGGAAGAACCTTGATTGTCTAGATTTTGTAGAATTTTTTTTTAAATGTTGAGGGAAGAAGGGAAAACCAACTACATAGAAAAGGGAGCCTTTATTATGAACACACAACTATTTAAAACAAGTGAAGTAATACCCATGTAGAATAAAAGTAAAGAAAAAAGAAACAATTCAGATAATCATCACATAAGAATTTTATTTTATTTATTTTATTTTATTTTATTTGACAGAGTCTCGCTGTGTCGCCCAGGCTGGAGGGCTGTGATGCGATCTCGGCTCACTGCAACCTCGCCTCCTGGGTTCAAACGATTCTCGTGCCTCAGCCACCCAAGTATCTGAGATTACAGGCATGGTCCCACCTAATTTTTTTGGTAATTTTGGTAGAGACGGAGTCTCACCATGTTGGCCAGGGTGGTCTCGAACTCCTGGCCTCCAATGATCTGCCCGTCTCAGCCTCCCAAGGTGCTGAGATTACAGGCATGAACCACTGCACCCAGCATCTGACTGCATTGCTGAATTCAAAATATCTGAATATGTTATACAGAAAAATGTTTTGAAAGCCTAATGAAAATTAATAACAAAATACAATGTTCTACTTACAGTCATTGTTGACTTAATAATTTGTTTTGCAATGTGACAAAATAGATCTATACTGTTCATCTTGTCAAAAATATTTACGTGCAGAACTGTATTTTAAAACAAGCAAGTACAAAAGAGAAATAAAGTACATGAATATTTTATTACCTCTCAAAATAGCCTGACTTGAAAAGACCATCACTCCATGGCCAATGGATCTACTTGATCCTGAAATAACCGAGAGTGGGTTGTATCTGTTACTGTCAGCAGGCCAACCTTACAGCAACAAGAAGAAAGGTGACGACAACCTGAGGGTCACCCCTGGGATTTCTATGGCCAACTTAAGTGGAAAGAACTAGCAGGAAACTAGTTGACTTTTTTTGAAGAAAGAAATGACAAGAGTTTCTCAATCAGTACCTTTTAGTGGTCATTTCTTGGAAACAACTATACATCATACAGTTGATGCCTTTAAAAACACGACTTTGGGTCTGGGCTTAGTGGCTCACACCTGTAATCGCAGCACTTTGGGAGGCTGAGGCAGGTGGATCACTTCGATGTCAGGAGTTCGATACCAGCTTGGCCAACATGACGAAACCCCGTCTGTACTAAAAATACAAAAATTAGCCGGGAATGGTGGCACGCACCTGTAATCCCAGCTCCTTGGGAGGCTAAGGTGGGAGAATCGCTTGAATCCGGGAGATGGAGGTTGCAGTGAGCCAAGATCGTGCCACTGCACTCCAGCCTAGGCGACAGAGAGAGACTCCGTCTCAAAAAACAAACAAGCAAGCAAAAAAACATAAAAGCACAATCCATTGATAAAAAGGGTACAGCTGGGCATGTTGGAAACACACAGGGCATGGGAGGGAGCCTGGGCTCCACCTGCAAGGCGAAGGCCATTCCAGGCAGAGGGGCAGGGGTGGCTGGAAAGAGCTCAGGGGCGAGGTCCTAGGCCCCATCCACTTGGCCTCCATCCCGAGTCCCTGCGTGCCTCCGCAGGAGGAGGAGCTGAAAGGTTCTGGGGACAGAGGCCCCAAAGAGCCACCCCTACCCCAGTCCACAGCAACCATGCGCGGCCTCTTAGGCAGTGGGGAGAGCGTGCCAGCAGGTGGCGTTGCCCCACACGATCCTTCACCCGCATGCGCACTGAGCTGACCAATCAGCGAGGAGCGTGGGTAGCCAGGCCAGCTGCTCTCACGAGAACTGAGGACCCATTTTTGTAAGAGAGCCTCGTGGTGCCAGTGTCTGTAGATTCTGTGAGGAAGCAGCATCAGGGATCTCTCAGGTGAAGCGTTCGCGGTGGGGAGGCGGGAAGGTGAGCACGAGGCCCTCTGGGAACCAGGGTGTGAAGCGCTGAGCGGCCGGCTGACCTGTGAAGAAATGGCCCTGGCATCGTCGCCTGGGGCCTGGGTCAGGGCGAGGCCCTGAGGATGGGATGGGATGGATGAGGGCAGGGAGGGAGCTGGAGACACCTGAGTGATCCCCAGGGCCCGGGAGTGTCCCGGGGGCTTGTGCATGTGTGCAAGGGGGAGGGGTGGGGCAGAGGAGGGGATAGTGGGGGAATGGAGGGGGTGGAGAGGTGGCGGAGGGGGGAGGGTCCGGGGAGTGGCAGACAGGCGGGGGCTGGGTGTGGGGCCAGGGATGGGGGCAGGGGAGGGGAGGGGTGTGGGGTGCGTGGGGTGAGGGAATGGGCAGGGGCTGTGGGGAGGGGAGGAGGAGGGGCGGAGTGTGTGTGGAGGGGATGGGCGGGGGTGTTGTGGGGGACAGTCCGAGTGGGTCCCTCCAGCCCGGCTGCCCATCAGGACAGGACACTTGGAGTTGCCAGGGGTCACCTGGGCATCCAGGCAGGTGAGTGGGAGTGCAGCCCCTGACATTTCCCCGGAGATGGCTGGGCAGGTCCTGTGTCACCCATGGTCCTCGGGGCCACACAGGTCTCTGGGGAACACAGGGGCAGGGCCGAGCTGTGTCCTAAGGGCACTGCAAGGGTCCTGCAGGGGCCATTCAGGTGTGCGAGGCAGCTGTGAGTTCTGCAGCCAGCCCCAGGGACGGGCTGGACGGGCCAGGAAGGATAGAAGGGGACACTGACATCTTCTCCGTCCCCTCCTGCTCCCACAGAACACACGGGGTGGGCCAGCCCCACCCTTTCTTGAACTCGCAATCCCGATGGCTCTCCTTTCACATGCCCTGTTTCCTTAGCCTACTTAGTTTGACTTTGCACTCAACCAGGTTCAGGGGTCGCCTCTAACTTCCCAGGACAGCCAACCATGGAGCCCGTGGGCAGGAAGTGCAGCAAGAGGGCTGCCAAGGTTCAGTTGGAGGCTCAAGTTGTGGCCGCCCGCGTGAAGGAGCATGCAGGTAAACACAGCCCAAGGGGCCACGAAAGAAGGTGCACGCCCAAGGAGACGATCTGTCTGCTCTCTGCGCTGGGGACACACAGGCAGCCCGAGACCCCTGGCCCCTTCGTGGCTTTGGAGTCCACCATGCATGTGCTAAGAGGCCCCAGGTTTTCAAAGCAGGATCGAGGGCCTAAGGCTTCCCGTGGGAGGCTCCGCCTCATAGCAGGGTTACAGATGCTCTCAGAGCAGCTCTTCTCCATGAGTGTGGTCCTAACATCCAAGGGGTCTGACCTGTGAGCATTGTTTACTGGGACTTGAACCCGAAGGGCTTCCAAAAATGCCTCCGTAAAATGGCCAGGGGCCCAGTGATTCCATGCATAGCTCTGCTTTAAAGCTTTAATCTAGAGGCAAAAAAGTCCACAAATGGTACCTTTCTCCACGAAAAATGTCTACAACAGCGTTTTCCTCTAAAAAAGGTTTGTCTTTTAAATTTTAATGCAGGAAAGGATCCAGTCAATGATGAACATGAGGAAAGAAACCCTTTTACAGAAACAAGGGAGAAAGATGTAACTGATAAGCATGGGGAAAGAGAACCTTTTGCTGAAAAAGATGAGCACATGGGGTAAAGTGTTTAAGTCACTTTTGCCTGTCGGATAAAGTATTTTGGGAAAAGTCAGCTTCGGATCATGTCATCACTGTTCTATTCTATGCAGAACATTTCACATAAGACATTTCTTCCCAACAAACATGGCATTTTGTGTAGCATTATGTTAAAATTTTGATGTAATTTTTTTTTTTTACAGGATTCATACCATGAAGCTAGAATATATTGCAGGTATGTTTTAGGAGCTATTCGTAGTTTTTGAAAATTATTTTCAACCATACAAGTGTTACAGTAGGTTATATGAATTAGGGGATGACAAGACTGTCTTACATGCCTTCTTCTCATATATAGCATTTAACATACGTATTTAATGTAATGTGTTTAATAAATTTTCATACTTACCTTTTTGATTGTTGATGTGGAATGTGAGAATGCTTCTAACAATGGTGAAATGAGAGGGATGGCTTTTCTTTCATACTTGTGGAAATTTAATTATTTGGGGGATATTAGAGGATGCTGGAGGAGAAACAGCTATATTCGTTTCTTTTAGTGTACACAGATTAAGTATATAAGTTTTTTTATCTTTTATTTTAGGTTTGAGGGTACATGTGCAGGTTTGTTATATAGATAATTGCATGTCACAGGGGTTTGGTATACAGATTATTTTGTCACCCAGGTTGTAAGTATGGCACCTGGTGGGTGGTTTTCATCATCACCCTCCTACCCTCTGCCCTCAAGTAGGCCCAGGTATCTGTTGTTCCCCTCTTCCTGTCCGTATGTACTCAGAGTTTTTAGTATGAGTTTTTATGTTCCTAATTTAGCTATTCTATTGTCACAACATTCTGATTTTGTTTTCTTTAAAGTACAAGAGAAAATCGAATTATCTAAAATGATGATATTCTATTATTATTCCAGTAATAAACTGTGTACTAGAAAAAGAAAGACAAGTTTTCTACCCAGTGAGAAACATGTAACTGGATCCAAAAACTCATACATTTTGTATTGCCATGTGAACTGTTAGTTGCACTGACTGTTATAGGACCATATTTTCAAAAAAAATTGAGAAAATTTCTGTAAAGACGACAGAGAAATACTCATATTTTTAAAAAGCTCAATTCAGTTTTCAGCTCTTCTATAGCGATAATTCATACAAGCAGTATTTTTGGAAAGCTTTGCTCTGCTTAGTGACTAAGTGCTGGTTTTGTGAGCTGCCTAACTGAGCATTATAGATGGAGACTATAAAAAGTCTCCATTATATAGTGGAGACTCCTTATAGATGGAGACTTGTATTATGGTGCAGATCTTTTATGATTGCTGAAAACTATCTTTAGCAATTGATGGTAGATCTCTAATGTGAAACCATGTTTAGGAAAGCATTCCTTGCAGTATTACAGTTTTCTGAAACACAACACTATGGATAAAAATATCATATAAAAAGCTCCAAGAAAAGATTTCAAAAGTGTTTTTGAATGTATTTCTTTACTTAAGCCTAAATTTTTACACCCATGGACGATGCTTCTTTTATTAAAATACAGTTAATAGCATCAATCACTAGATTGCTTAAAAAATGCTTTTCTTATTGTGTATTATTTCTAACCTTTTGATGGTCTTATTAAATAAGATACTTTTTTGTATGTTTTGCATAATGAATTGTGACAGTATTTCATGGAAACATGTCCTTTAAATTACAAGACATTTTATAAATGTAGAAATTAGAGTCTGTGTTTGTAACCCTTTCTGCACATTTAAAAAATAGAAACTTTTAATTATTTGCTTTTTTTCATCATCCATCAATTAAGTGATTTGCAGTTATACCAATTGGAATTAGAGTGCTAATATTAATACCTAAAAGGTTTTACAGAAAACGAATGAGTAAATCTTGCTTTTTGAAGTGATCTTTGCATTTTACAATGTAAATGTCCTTCCGATATTGCTGAACCATCATGTCTCACACTGATTTCAATGTATGCGAAGAAACTACTTTTCAGCATTAACTTTTAATGCATTTTCATTTACTACCTAGCTGACATTAAAGAGGACCTTGCTGCAAAAAGAAAAATGATAAAAATAGATAAAGCCGCTTATAGGAAAACCAAGAACACAATTGAACGTGCTTTGAGAAAAAAACAACTAAAAAGGTATGATTGTTGGCTTTTTTGCATAATGATATTTATATGATTTCTTTGTATATGTTGGTGCAAATAATTTCAAAAACTATCCTGTACATATTGGTGTCTCTAGGGAACAACATATTTTACTTGATTGTTCCCTAAGCAGGTAAGTTTCTTTAGTTTTATAACCTCAGTTTAACAGAATTGAGAGATACTACCTAGAAGCCAATGAAGATAACCTCTTTTTGCAGATAAAAATAGTCTTCCTGTAAAATTAATTTTTATCCGTTTCTAGAAATACGGCAGCTGCATGTAAGATAAATGTCTTCAACGTTTAGCCTGTAGATCCTTAACAATATTAAGTTATGTGGAAAGGGACAACCTTATGTTGTAAATAAGTTATCTATTTTAGTTTAATTGTTTTCACTATTCCCTTTAGAAAATCACTGTTGTGCCAATGTGGAGAAATAGTTAAGTGAAGCATTTCTTTTGGGAAATCTTACGGGACGAATGGCTGTTATATTCTTGAACTTACTTATGAGAACCCATATGTTGTTTAGTTTGAGAAAATGAAAAGTAAACTGCTGTTAGAGAAGATGATTGTTTCTGGGAAATTTATAGTGCTGTAAACCCTCCTTTGTCTTCAGCATGTAAATAATGTGAGATAGCTGCTCTAGTAGTCAGTTAGGAAGGGATCCTTTCAGAATGAGAGTAACTCATTTCACCTTTTCCCAAAAAGATTTCAGCTGCTATTACTCCCTTGCTACTTTATAGTATAAATTATGTCAAGTCTGTTTTAGTTTGAATAGGATTAATTTTTCATCTCTCTATGACATATGACAGTGTTACATATTATGTGTTACAGGCAGAAACGTGATTATAGACATACTCGGAAGTTGCTGAATGTCCTTAAAGAATACATCGCAGACAAGCAGAAAGATGATGAAGCAGCAGAAGAAGCAGAAGCAGCAGCAGCAGAAGCAGCAGCAGCAGCAGCAGCAGAAGTAATAGTAGTAGAAGAACAAGAAGAGGAGGAGAAGGAGGAGGAGGAGGAGAAAGAAGAAGGAGAAGGAGAAGAAACAGAAGAAGAAGTAATTGTTGGTATCAGGCTTAGCTTTATGATTAACCTATTGTATCAATGTCTCCGGGAGTAATTGTTCATGCAGAAATCCAGCAAAGAAGGAAGAGAGCATGAGCCCAGAGAGGGGGCCCCGTTAGTAGACTCATGTACCAGGGGAATATAATTGCCATGAAGCATTTGTGGTCCAACTGAGGTCAGCATCATAGCAATTAAGAAGTCAAAGTGAGCCCAGTTGGCATATTTGTGCAAAAGCAGCTGTAGGGTTGGAATTTCCTGGGTTGGGGTGTAGCCAAGCACGTTGATAGAGGGAGAGTTGGGCAGGGCATAGACACAGGGATGGGGGTATGATGACTGGCTGTGGAATTTCAGCTGGAACTGAGTTACCTGAGCACATGGGGGTGGGCAATGGGCAGTGAAAAGTGTTCCATTCGGTGGGTGTCATATCCCAACAGACTCCTGAGCTGTAGTACTGAAGTGAGTGACCTACAGTGGCAGGGAGGTAGTGGCTGTATGTTGGGAAGATGGAGAAACAGCTGAGTGCAGTGGTCAAGGGCTGGGGCACTCAACCCCACTGCTTGTGATTCAACTCCAGCTTGACCATTGTTAGCTCGGGAACCACGGGCAAACTATTTATCTCTGTGCCGAAATTTCCTTGTCTACAAAAGGAGACATGGTAAGAGTACCTATGTCAGAGTTATTTGGAGGATTGAAGGGTTCCTGTGTAACGGGTTTATTTAAGTTTTTCAGGATGTGATCTGACCCATGATTGCTCTTTATCATTGCTATTATTAATATTACGTAGGTGTTGCAGTCATTGGGAATGACAAAATCTAGGGGATGACTGTATAAGTGAGTGCCATGTAGAGGAGAGGAGAACACTGTTGTTGGAGATTAGGTCAAGGTGCAGAAAGGCCATCATTTTTGTAAGGTTCATCTATGTGCATACTGAAATGACCAAGATTTAATACCAGTTTAAAATCTTAGTAAGAAAGAAGATGTTTCTTAGTTAATTTCTGTATAAATCTTACCCATCTGTAGTCAACAAATTATAGGAAGGGTCATCATATACTCTACATTCAAAATCAAGAATTAAGACATATGTGTTGAATATGTATGTAGAAGAAAGAAAATTCCTTACTCAATGACTGATGAAAAAGGTCATTATATCATTTTAGCATATGAGTGGTGAACACAGTTCTTTAAAATTGGTCATAAACGTTGTTTAAAAGAAAGTGTTAAGAAGTATAGATTTAAAGAGTATTCCTATAAAGCTAATGCAGAATTATGTTTTGTAAGTATTAAAAGTTACCCAATTTTCATCACTACTTTTTTGTACTTCTAGAAAGCATTTCAAGAAAAACAGAAGAGGTGTCAACAACATACAAGTGTTAGGAGAGGGGGGCTGAAAGAGGTGAAGCCGCTACGTGAGCAATTCATAAAGGTCTGTTCTATTTGGTAACATAATACATTATAAAATACACCACGTGCATAACAGAGGAAAGTCTGCTTGTTTCTGAATGTACGGAAAGACATTTTGGTTATGCATTTTAAATTACTTACCATTTTCACTTTGAATGTATTGTTCCAAATTTAACATAATTGGTAAATGTATTTTTAGGATTTATGAATAGTTTTGTGGGAGTTACTTAGAACAGGAAAAGGTAAATTGGAAATTTTACCTGGAAATATACATCTTGTGTATAAAATTGACATTTTATTAACACATTGACCCATTTATGCCAGAGGCTGCACGTTTTTTGTGTGTGAAAAATCAGACCTTGGCGATGATCTTGAGTGGTAGGATATACATGACTCCCACAGGGTTAGCGTTCCAATAATGGAACACTAGGCATAAATGAGTTTTAATGATTTTATTTTCAGTTTTCAGGACGTCAATGACAAATCTATGGTGGAAGGCAAGAAGACCATAAATCCTTTCTGGGTGTCTTTTTTACTTGTGATGTTTCAAGAGTTTTAGTTAAATAGGAAGTAGGCAAGTGTAACTACTGAGTGTCTCTTTTATTTCCTGCTATAATATAGGAGTGTTTTATGGCATATTCACTCACAAAATTATCAGTAATGGTTTTACGTGACAATTTGTAATAATAAGGGATGGTTCAGATGTATAACAGAATGGGAAAGCCAGCAGATTATTAACACGTTGTGAATTGTGAATTATCTGCTGTCGTATAGCACATTAGCAAGTTGTCATCGGACAATCACTTCTTCATGTAGATGTATATTATTTAGGTAATAGTGGAATTCTTTTCTGGGAAATAAGGTATTCTTTTCAATAACCTTGTGAAAATACATGTTCATATGTCACTCTTCTACACTAACTGAGATGTGTTAAATAAACTGAGAAAAGAGTTTGAAAATAACATTTTCAAGCAACTTGAGAATGATCTATACACAAAACAGTTATTTAAATAGAAGTCACAAGTAGAGAACATGTTGCTATAATGTTCCCCAGAAACCATTTATTAATTGGTATGAACATGAAACTAGAAGTTTTCCTGTCAATGTTAATGCTGCATGTTACCACCTAAGGTAGGAACTTTGCTATCGTCTTGGACTCTTCTGAGTCCCTTATCCTTCCCATACAGTTACCATGAGGCAAGTTTTACCTCTGTAATGGCCCTTAAATTTCGTTTTTTAAAATTCCCACTGCAGCTGCCCTAGTTCAAGACCTCATTCTTCCTTACTTGTACTATTAAACTCTTTTCTGAGTTCTCTCTTCTCTTCTGAGCCATCTTTCATTGATCGGCAATATTACCTTCCTACAACCCTCCCCTTCCTAAAATGCTTCCTAACCCTTCGCTCTTTCCAGCCTGTCAGTGGTGCCCCGTCTCAGTTCTTAGATGTTCAGAGACTCCCCACTTTACGTGACCCCTCTTAGGCTTGTTTTGCCGCCCTCTGTCTTTGCTCCTGCCTATCCAGGTTGACAGCTTTCCCTGAAGGAATTCACTGTTACGCTCATGCTTTACTCATGCTCTTCCCTCACAATGCTTTAAAAATTTTTTTTGACCAATTTAAACCTTTTGCCAACTAAGTCAATATCAGTCTCCATTTTTGGCTACACGTCTAAGTGAGTTGCCCTTCCATAGCGTTACACAATTTTTGTATTAATTTTTTTGTTTATGCATTTGCTCATGTCACAGGATTATGGAAGAGATTATGCTTACATTTTCTACATCTTCCTCAGCATTAACATACAACATTTTAGGGAGTAGGAACTGTTGAACTATTTGTTGAGGGAATAGTGTATGTTTCAAACATAGTTACATTTTCTCTAACTTGATGAGGTCATATCACCAACCATTTTATCCCTTCAGTGGAAACCACGTTACGTAGACTATTGCTGATAATCCTGCTGAAAAAATGTATTTCATGATATAAGCCTGCCTATCTTTTTCTATCTTTGCTCCATCTTGACCTTAAGATGCTCATCAACCCATTTTATTCAAGCAAAGTACATGACAGTTGGACCTGCTAAAATAATATTTCACTGAAATCTGGCATTAAAAAATTTAAGTGGGTATTTGGAGCTCCATGTATTGATTACAGTTTTCTTCACTTTGAAATAAATAACCAGCATCCTTTGAATATTAAAAGTTGTTTCCTTTTGACATCTGATTAACCCTGTTTAAAACGTGAGATGTAAAGTGGTGGTTTGTCAGTGAACTAGACTTTTTCTTTTAGGCTACCAAGGACTCTAAAGACAATTATTGCATCATTTCTTCCGATGAAGAAAGTGAACTTGATAACTAGCCGTGTTTTTAAATAAACTCGTGTCAGAACTGTAAGTAGTGCATATTTAAATATTAAAAACTCAGGATTGATATAAGCACTGGAATATTTTATTTGCAGAAATGTGTATCACAGTTACTTAAATTTTTTTTTGAAACAGCTTTTGGAAGAGTTGACACTTAGTTGTCTCTTCAACCTCTGTTATTCTGATGACTGAAGAAAGAACTTGAACCTATGTTATATGATAGAAGCACAACTTGAACTACGGTAAACTACATGACAGTGTTTTGATAATTCTTGTATAAATCAGTATAGCTCCTCCGTCATTTGTCTGTTAAATGCCAGACTTTGTTTCTATGATCTGTTGAATGAATCCTAGACACTTCTGTGAGAAAGCAGGGATTGCATAGTTATGTACACGGTCAATTAAATTTTAACATTAAAGATGATTTAGATTTCAGTTCGCCTCTGTGGATCTGTATCAGTTCCAAAAATGTAGAAAGCACAGGCATAGAAAAGTACATTTTTCTTTAGTAAAAGAAGACAAAACCTGCCGGGTGTGGTGGCTCATGCCTGTAATCCCAGCACTTTGGGAGGCCGAGGGGAGTGGATCACTTGAGGTCAGGAATTTGAGACCAGCCTGGCCAACATGGTGAAACCCCATCTCTACTAAAAATACAAAAATTGGCCAGGCATGGTGGCATGCACCTGTAGTCCCAGCTACTCAGGAGGCTGAGGCAGGAGGATCGCTTGAACCCCGGAGTTGGAGGTTGCAGTGAGCCAAGACTGTGCTGCTGCACTCCAGCCTGGGCGACAAGAGCAAGACTCTTTCTCAGAAAACAAGAAGACGATGACAAAAGCTATCCTATCTATGCATTCTTTTGTATTTACTCATTAGGATAAAGAGGCAATTCCAATGAAAGTAGGAATTCAAAAATAGATACATTCTATGGCCTTATCAAAATTATTAAAAATACCTTAACATTTGTGTTCTTGAAAAAATTAAACTACTATAAATAATTAAGGCAACTGAGCAAGATATATATATATATATCAGTGTCGAGCCACTGCTTTGTGGGCATGTCATTTCCACAGACATCAAAATGCCATGTAGTTTGTTTTGGTCCATCATTCAGTGATACCTCCCCTTAGCACTGAATGAAAGTATTTTGTTAACATTTATGTATGCTTACAATTATTTCACATCTGTGGCAAGGTGAATTATGTAGAGTGCTTTGTTTATTCAGTTTAATATTCATGGATTATGTGGAAGTTTAAGTATATGTGCATCTAAAAACTTGAATGATGAATTCGCCTACCTTTCCTTTTCTTAATGTGCAATTTTCACATGCAACAACATGTAACAACATATAACAGCATGTTTAAAAAGATATTTTTGCATGCAAAAACATGTTTAAAAGATGTACACGTTTTTGCATGTAAAAGGAATTTTACATGTAACAACATGTAAAAAAATGTTCATTTGGAAACACTTTATTTAGTAAATACGAAATTCAGAATATATTTGGAGTAAGTCAGTTAAATGTATTCTTTTGCTGAGTTTCTGAAATTCCATTCATGAATTGTTCAGAACACAATACCCTCATTGAGAGGACAGGAGCGACTTCCTCTCATTTTTCCTTGTGCTTTTTATTTTAATTGGCCCCTATATACCACTCTTACCTTTTCTAGGTTTTCCAAGTTTAAGAAAAAAAGCAGGTTCATTTAGATTCCGTTTTTCTGCCTATAATCACTTGTACAGGGATAAGTTAGTCCCTGTGGGGAGCATTTAATTCCTAAAGTTTGCATTTTCGTAAAGAACTTTCCTTTTACCCAAAGCGTGTGTTGGTAGTACTAAGTACTCCTAAGTACTACTTTAAGTTTCTAAGAAGGTCCTTATTTGAGATTTCTTTCAGTAGTTACAGAGGCAAAATAAGCACTGTGCGAGTTCTGTTGTACATACTGGGCTATCTGACTATTTCTTCTATAGTGGATGGATGAGAAAGAAGCCAAAATATACTTAGTGATGGAACAGTTGATATTTATGCCACCCCTTTCTATCAAGTGAGTAACTGTGTACTTGAAGTCACATTTTTTTTTTTTTTTTTTTTTTTTTTAGAGATATTGTCTCACTCTGGCCGAGCCGGAGTGCAGTAGTGGTGTGATCATAGCTCAGTGCAACCTTGACATTTTGAGTTTAAGCGATCCTCCCACCTCAGCCTTCAGAGTGTCTAGTAACACAGGTGTGCACACCACGCCCAACTAAAATATATATTCTTTTGAGAGATGCAGTCTCCCTGTGTTGCCCAGGCCAATCTCAAATTCCTGGCTTCAAGTGGTATTTCCACTTCAGCCTCCCAAATTGCTGGGATTACAGGCGTGGGCCACTGAGCCTGGCTGCATTATCTCACTTTTATATGGAATCTAAAACAGCTGAACTCACAAAAACAGAGAATAGAATGATGGTTACCAGGAGCTGGGGGAGGTGGAAGGTTGGGGAGATGTTGGCCAAAGGGTACAAGATTTCAGTTAGACAGGAGGAGTAAGTTCAAGAGCTCTATTGTAAAACATGGTGACAACAGATAATGATAATACTGGATTTTTAAAGATTGCTAAGAGGGTAGATTTTAAGAGTTCTCACCACAAAGAAAATTATACTTAGGTGAAGTAATGCAAATGTCAACTAGCTTGACGTAGCTATTTCACAATATATACATATTTCAAAGTAACCTGTTGTAGATGGTATATATCATTTAAGTTTGTCAATTAAAATAAGTTTCTAAAATGTTTGGAATTAAACATAAAAACAAACATTTATTACCCTGCAGTTCTGTAGTTTCAATGTAAAGTCTGGACTGAGTGCCTTTGGGGTAACATTCAAGATGGCAGTGGGGCAGTGTCCCTTCTGCGGGTTGTAGGGGAGGAGCTGTTCGCTTATGTTTTTCAGATTCTGAAAGCTCCTATCATTCCTTATCTCATGGCCTCTTTCTTCGTCTTAAAAGCCAGTATTTTGGGGGGTCAGAGCCTTCTCATGTGGCTGTCTGGTTCCTTCCTCCTGCCTCTCTCACACTTAGAAAGACCCTTGGGATTCCACTGGACTCCCCTAGAGATAACCCAGGATAATATCCATGTTTCAGGTCAGCCGATTGGTACCTGTCATTAGCACCTTCCAGTTCATTTCCTCCCTTGCCTTGTCGTCTCACACGTTCACAGGTTCCAGGGATGAGTTCCTGGACATCTTTGGAGGGTACTTATTTTGCCTACCAAATACACCCTTTCTTTAAATGCACCTCACCTGTAAAATGGCATTGTTTTAGGTGGGCACAGCAGCTTATGCCTGCAGTCCAGCGCTTTGGGAGGCTGAGGTGGGAGAATCACTTGAGGCCAGGAGTTTGAGACCACTCTGGCCAACATAGCAAGATCCCATCTCTACAAAATAATTTTTTAAATGGCACCATTATAAAGAGGGAGGTAGGATGGATTCCATCTTCTTCTCAGCCCTTGTCCAAAGGTGTTGACTTGCATAAGCCGAGAAGCTACAGTGACAATAAAAAGCTCATCCTTGCTACCCCCAAGGAGAAACGCCGGCTCCCATAAGCAAGCGACATGAGTGTAAGTCTTTGTGTATGTGTCCGTGTGCTGCGGAAGGGGTTCATTGAGTTAATGGAGGCTTTGAGGTCTGTACTGTCTGCCACCTGGCTGCAAATTGTATGTGATGGCTCAAGTGATCCTCTCACTTCAGGCCTCCCAAGTACCTGGGAATACAGGCGTGTGCTACCATGCTGGCTAATTTTTTTGTGTGTGTTTTCTAGAGACGTGGTCTCAATGTGTTGCCCAGACTGGTCTTGAACTCCTGGCCTCAAGTGATCCTCCTGCCTCAACTTCCCAAAGTGCTGGGATTACAGACATGGGCCACTGCATCCAGCTGACCTATACGCTTTCTATTTTATTTTATTGTATTTTATTTATTATTTTATTTTTTATTTATTTTATGACAGAGTCTCGCTCTATCATCCAGGCTGGAGGCCAGTGGTGTAATCATAGATCACTGCAACCTCTGCCCGCTGGCCTCAAGTCATCCTCCCATCTCAGACTCCCGAGTAGCTAGGACCACAGGCATGCATCACCATGCCCAGGTAATTTTTGTATATTTAGTAGAGAAGGAGTTTTGCCATGTTGAAGTAGACTCTCTTTATATATAAACATGTGACTGTCTATTCTTGAGTACAGATTAAAAACATCATTTTTTATTATTTGAATTTGTAAGAGTTTTATGTGTAAATAGAAAAGAAGATGCTTATGATAAAATTAATTTATTGTAATTAAAATTAAAATTATCACATAATTAATATGTTAATATATTTGCTTAACAAAATGTTAATATTCTCTTTATCATTACTAACACATAATCCACAAAATCCTACCTTGGATGTTATTACATAGTTTAGAAGTTTTATTGCATGTCATAATCTTTGTAGCTCCATAAACGAATTTTAACAACTCCTCTAAGCACAGGAGAAGATAATATGCATCATTCCCCTTACCTTACAGCTAATAAATAGTTGATCATTTCAGAAATCAGGCATTTGAAGCTGTGTGAACATGAACCATTCATCATTACAGATGGTCCTGATCACATAGATACATGATATCCAGCAATTGCAACTTACAAAGTGTTATCAGTCCAAGATCTGATAGATGACTCATTTTCCAATATTTTCAAGTTGCAGCCCCATGTTTTCATACATGTCATTTCATACATGTCATTTCTGATTTACCATTAAGCATGTTCTGGTAAATTGTTTCTCTCGACTGCTCATGCAGTGTTTTGAACTGATGCCATAGTAGATTTATTTTCTTCCCTTCAGTATAGACAGATACATGTGCTTATTTCCAAACCTCATCAGCTACCACTAAGGACCAGGAAGCAAAATCTAAGTGAGTGACAGCAGTTTTAAGTTATTCTTTGATTGGCTTTTGGAGTGAGTTTGATGCAATCTCCTTGGTTTTCTAGCCGAGGACATTTGGCCAAGTTATCTGTCCTCAGCCATTCCCCTTTGGGCTGTAATACTGTTTTGGCAAACACAGAAACACTAATGTAGATAGCTCACACTTACAGTTTCCAGAATTTTTTTTGATACAAGGAAGTTTTAAAATGTATAAATCTCTTTTTTCCTAAATTCACAAGGTTGAATAATATACCACATATACATTTTAATACATATTGTAAATATTTGCATATAAATATGTACAATATATAATTAATGTAAACCATTTTATATTTCCTTGCATTTCTTAAAATCAAAGCCAAATCGAAACATTTTAGGTACAATGATATAATTTACTGATAAAAGAAAATTATTTCCCATTCTTCTATAAATTTATAGAGCCTGGAATTTTTATCAAATAAGCTTTGGATACCTTATAGAACTAGCATAGTCCTTTTTTAAAATAAGCTATTATTCTTAGTAGAGACAGGGTCTTACTATGTTGCCTAGGCTAGTTTCCAAGTCCTGGCTCAAGTGATTGTCCCACCTCGGCCTCCCAAAGTGCTAGGATTACAAGCAATGAGCCACCATGCCTGGCCTAGCATACTCCTTTACTAAAAGGAAAAAAAAAAAGGCCATTAAAAATATTTGCTGAGATATTGAGTGAATGGATGGATTACAAAATGAATTAACCAATGAAGCGGTGTCTGAATTTAGGAGAAATTCTTTTTTTTTTTTTTAGGAACATTAGTTAAAATGTACTAAACAGCTCCAGGCAACTTCTCCAGAATGATAGACATTGCCCTATGGACACACATGAAAAATGTATATATGTATATATAGCATATATACAGCTTTCTTGATTAGTGTATTCACTTTACGTTGTACTTTTTTTTCCAACAAATAGCTATAAAAGCCTGGTTATAATACAATTTCTATAGGCACTAAAATAAACAAATAGCCGCATCCCTATTTGTGTTCAGAATTTGAAAGTTGTTATTTTGGGGTCATTTTAAACCATGTTTCCATCTCTTTTTCTGAATTTGACTTCGTAATGCTTTCTTATTTTTTTTAATTTATTTTTATTTGTTTTAATTTTATTTTCATGGGTTATTGAGGAGCAGGTGGTGTTTGATCACATGAGTCAGTTCTTTAGTGGTGATTTGTGAGATTTTGGTGCACCCATCACCCAAGCAGTATACACTCAACCAATTTGTAGTCTTTTATCCCTCACCCCCTTCTCACCCTTTCCTCCTGAGTCCCCTCCATTGCGTCATTCTTATGCCTTTGCATCCTCATAGCTTAGCTCCCACTTAGGAGTGAGAACATAACGATGTTTGGTTTTCAATTCCTGAGTTACTTCACTTAGAATAATAGTCTCCAGTCTCATCCAGGTCACTAGGAAAGCCATTAATTCATTCCTTTTTATGACTGCATAGTTTTTTTATCTCATATATATGATAAATATATATCTGATATATATTTGATAAATCTGATATATATGATAAATACATATGAAAAATATGACATATATTACAGTTTCTTTATCCACTCATTGACTAATGGGCATTTGGGTTGGTTCCATGTTTTTGCAATTGAGAATTGTGCTGCTGCAAACATGCTGGTGCAAGTATCTTTTTCGTATAATGACTTCTTTTCCTCTGGGTAGATACCCGTAGTGGGATTGCTGGATCAAATGGTAGTTCTGACATCTCCCACCGCCCGCGCACCTCCACGCCGCAGTCCCGGCTCTGCGGCTCACCCTCTGCTGCGCTAGGCTCCCGCGGGTGCTCGGCCCGGCCCCCCTCCGCCTCCTCCCTGGCGGCCCTAGTCCTAGTCCTCCTGCTGCCCCTGGAGCTGAGCCTGGCAAATGCCCTTGCACCTGGGACTCCTGCTCAGAATCTCCCCGAGAATCACATCGACCTCCCTGGCCCAGCACTGTGGTCGCCTCAGGCCAGCCACCACCGCCAGCGCGGCCCACGCAAGAAGGAGTGGGGCTCACGCCTGCCCAGGGAGGCCCAGGATGGGGCTGTGTTCACCGCCACCAGGCAGGCTTCCAGGCTGCCAGGGTCTGAGGGGCCGCTGCCTGAGCAGAGTCCTGCAGACCTGCTGCGGGTGAAGGACCTGCGCCTGGGGCTCGAGTTGCCCTACCCCAAGAAGCAGAATCGGTCTCCAGTGTGGGAGAGGGCCAGGAAACGCAGCAGGGAGCACAAGAGAGGCAGGGACAGGCTGAGGCTGCACCGAGGCCGAGCCTTGGTCCGAGGTCCCAGCTCCCTGATGAAGGCGGAGCTCTCCGAAGCCAAGGAGCTGGATGCGGCCATGGAGCAATCTTCCGCCAGTCGGTCCCCCACCATGCTCTTCCTCACCACCTTTGAGGCAGCATCTGCCACAGAAGAGTCCCTGATCCTGCCCATCACCTCCCTGCGGCCCCAGGCACAGCGCAGGCCTGACGGGGAGGTGATACCCACGTTGGACATGGCCTTGTTCGACTGGACCGATTATGAAGACTTAAAACCTGATGGTGGGCCCTCTGCAAAGAAGAAAGAAAAACCAGGGTAAACTCTCCAGTGACAGTAACGAAACATCATCAGCCGAAGCGGAACCGTGCGACCATCACCAAGACTGCCTAGCAGGGCTGCGCTGCTATGCCAGATTCCACCGGAACCCCACGTCACACAGAGGAAGGGGCGCTGCCTGGAGACCGAGACGGCCAAAGGCGACCAGGGATCCTTCATCAACGTCTAGCCGCTCCGCGGGACTGGGGATGAGCCCGGGAGGTTTGCACAAGATTTGTTTATAACTAGCAGTGGGAGATTAAGTGGGGGACCAGATGGCCGAGGCTGTAGGCTCAGGCCCAGGACTCTCAACCCCGGGAGGGTAGCTACCAGGTAAGCGAGCTGGGTGGGTGCCCAGGAGCCGGCCGGCATCACCTGTGCACTCACAGTCCGGACCCAGTCGGCCCGGTGTCCAGCTCTCCGCGATGGCAATACCGAGATTGCCCCCTACTGTCCGACTGCAGCACTACAACAGCTTCAAGTTCAAGAGGCTTTTTTGAGAGTGGAAAAGAAATTTAAACTTCCCGAAAGAAGGTCCACGGGCTGGAGATAAATATGGAACACTTCCTATGGAGCAGGCACTATGCTCAGGGCTGGACTACCTTATCTCATTGAATTATCACAACGACCTTTTCAAGTAGGCATTATCACCATGCGACAGATAAGGACCCTGAGACACGCTGGACTGATTTGGCTTGCCCAGAATCCCAGGTCAATGCTCTTCAAAACTTAACATGCCAAGAATCGCCTGGCGGTCTAGCTAAAATTGTACGTCTGACTCAGTGGACTCTGCTCTTAACAAACTCCCCGGGCATGCGATGCTGCTGGCCCAGGGACCCCACCGAGAGGTCCGGGGAAGTACATGGCAGAGCAAGGACCTGAACCTGGGCCAAGGCTGTCCAGCTCCAAGATCCACGTTCCTGCCTCTCCACGACCAAAATGTTCTTCTAGATTCTCCAAGGCTTTTGGCAAGAGAGGCTTGCACCCTGGTATTACCTTTCTCTGTGGCTGGAATAACTTCACTGTTCTCTGCCTTCCCTGGACAACGGTGTATCATGTTTAAAAACAAAACAAAATGCAAAAATAACCCAAAAAATGCTAGTTCTACTTTTAGTTCTTCAAGGAATCTCCACACTGTAATGCTCTTTTAAAATATGTGCTTTTGATTTCTTGCTTGTATATTTTTGTATTTGGAAATTGATTTAGAAAGTATATATAATCCATAGAGACCTCAGCCTATTTTTAATGATTCATGTTACAAACCCTCCAATAGCTTCCTGTGGGTTCGGCATGGTAGGAAGTACAGGTGAAAGAAGACAAATAAGACAGAACTGGTATTCTGGAACTTGAGAAAATGAAGAACCCTGGCAATCACAATGCAGTGTGAGAAGTGTTATTAGAAATGCATTTGCGGGACCCCTCGGGGCACATGTCTGTCTCCTAGTGCAGCCCAGGAGGTATTGTCATGGAAGGCATCCCTCTTAAATCATCTCCCAGAGGATGGCATCTGATGAGGTAGGACGCATATTCCAGGCAAAGGAGGCAAATGCACTGGGTTATTAAAGTATTGCAAATAACTCCTGCACACTTCTGGGACAAGTATAAATTGGTACAAATCCCTGAGGAGAAATATTTGGTAACATCTGCCAATATTAAAATGTATTAATGATCAGATATGGGACCCAGCTCTCCCAGCTGTTCCATTTTTGAGAACGCTTCCTGCAGAGACACTTGCACCCGGGTGATGTGGCAGATGCACTGTTTTGTTCATGGCAGCCCTAGCCCTCGCACAGAGTTGCAAACACCCTAGATCTTCCTCAGGAGAGGAAGGATTCAATAAAATACTGTGTGGTCAAATGGTGGGAATGCCACGACAGTCAAATGATAAGAAAGACTTTCTGAGATATGATGTTAGGTGAAAAAAGTGGATTGTAAATGGATGTGTACGATATACTATATATTATGTGAATAAGGGAAAATACATTTATGCCTTTACTTATTTCTTGTAAATGTATAAAGTCATATCAACGTGTATGTAAGAAGCTGACAAAAATATTTGTCTCAGTGTGTGGTGCTGTTATATGGGACTAGATACAGGACTCATTGGGGTGAAGGATGAGAGGGAGGGAGTGGTCTAAGAAACAGCTACAGACCTTCTCCAAGCTTCCGCAGTCATCAACTTGTGGCCAATTCCATTTCATCCCAACTCCTAGACATTTTTGCTTGCCCCAGAGTAGAATATCTTGTGTACACACACACACACACACACACACATACATGTATATATTCATGTGCTTGACTTATGGCCCAAATATGATCCATGCATAACAATTAAAGGTAAAATTTTTCTTTTAAATATGTACTTTGTCAAACTTTTGCAATAATTATGAAAGCCTTAAGTTATGAGTGGAGTAAATTAAGTTTGTTATTATTATCAAAGTCTCCTAGGCACAATTTTATTTTTATTATGACTTTTAACTCACAGAGATCTTTATGTGTCTTTTTACATTTTTAAATATACAGGGCCATTGAAGGTTTTCTTTTGATATTAATTTTTAAATATTTGTGTTATAGTTAGAAAATTTCAGATTCTTTGAAATTTGAGAAGACATACTTTATGTCAAGTGGGTAACCAAGTTTTAGGAAATTTTCTGGAACACTTGAAAAGATTGTGTGTTCTCCAATTATTTGGTGTAGTTTTCTATATATGTCCATTATAAGGAGCTTATTAAACTATTAAATCTTTTATATTTATATTACTTTTGGTCTCTATGCCAGTCATAGACCATTCTCACAGCTGGTGAGAATATGCTGAATTATTCCAGTATAATGGTGATTTTGTTCATTTCTATTTTTGTTCTGTTAATTTTTCTTTTGTGTATATTATATATATTAATGCCATTTAATTAAATGCATGTAGATTTAAATTGTTATAGCTATCTGAGAACTTAACAGATTTTCTCATATGGATGACTGTTTTATCCAGAAGGATGACTTTAGCATTAATATTTAATTTACCTGATGTTGATACAGTTAAGCCTCTTTTCCTTGGGTTAATATATATTTGGTCTTTTGTTTTCCATCTTTTCAAATCTTTTGTGTCTTTATCTTTTCATTATAGAGTTTAATCTGTTTGTATCCATTGTGTTTATGGATTCATTTCTATCATCTTATATTGTACTTTCTATTAGTATACTTGCTGTTCATATCACTTTTATTCTGTCTATCTTGTTTGTGTTTGTTTCATTTTAGCTTGAGTATTACCATTTTATTTTCTCCTTTATTTGGTCAGAAGTTATATCTTCTAATTTTATCCTTTTATTGGATATTATAGAAACATTAAAATATGTATTTTTGAAGTATGTACACAAATAAAGTGAATGAGTAACCTGACTCTTCAGAAAATATAAAGACCACACAAAGTGGACACATAGCTGTGGAGGGACAAAGGTGATGCTGTGGCACACAGACTGAACACACAGAGCTGGGTCTCTTCTGCAATGATGTATGTCTGTGTGAAGGATGCCAAGGCACACTCTAAGATAATGTGTAGGGGGGAGGCACGTGTGTGAATGCGTGTGCACATGCACTCGCCTGTGTGCATGGACAGGAGTATGTGTTTATCTATGTGCACCATTATTATTAATTCAAAAAGTGCATAGTTTTCATTTTCAAAGGAAGTTATGATGCAAAGAACATGACCTATACAGCAAATACCTTTGGTACATTTGGATAGACTTTTTAAGGTAGCATGTCATTTTTGTCATGAATTTAGCTGCTGTCTACATCCTAAAAAGCTAGAGTCAACTTTAAAACTTCCCCAGTCTATACTGGGGAAGTTATACTATATACTATAGCATAGTGTAAACAGATCAATCACCATAGAAGACGGATTAAACAGGCATATTTTCAGCGGGTGAATTGAACATGAAACCACTTTAAGTAGCAGAATTGGACCTGTGTGTTTAAAAGCACAAAAGAAACTGTGAAATATCTAAAATCCAATAGCTGAGAGAAATTTCACATGGAGAGACTGAGAAACTTCTGCAATAATTATGAAAGCCTTAAGTTATGAATGGAAAAAGACAGTGTTGCAGAGATTTCTGTAGTAATCTCCAAAGATGAATCTGTTGCCCACTGAAACTCAGGACAATAAGGAAACAAAGTTATGGCAAGACTGGGCTAATTCTAATTCCATTGGCCATGCCTAGCTAAGCATTTCATTAATTCTTTTTTTTTTTTTTTTTTTTTTTTTTTTACTCTTTTGGTTATTTTATTTTAGTTACTTATTTATTTTACTTTAAGTTCTGGGATACATGTGCTGAACGTGCAGGTTTGTTACATAGGGATACATGTGCTGTGGTGGTTTGCTGCACCTATCAACCCATTATCTAGGTTTTAAGCCCCGCATGTGTTAGGTATTTATCCTAATGCTCTCTCTCCCTTTCCCCCCACCCCCTGATAGGCCCTGGTGTATGATATTCCCCTCCCTGTTTCCATTGTGTTTTCATTGTTCGCCTTCCACTTATGAGTGAGAACTTGCGGTGTTTGGTTTTCTGTTCCTGTGTTAGTTTGCTGAGGATGATCGTTTCCAGCTTCATCCATGTTCCTGCAAAGGACATAAACTCATTCTTTTTTATGGCTGCATAGTATTCCATGGTGTCTATGTGCCACATTTTCTTTATCCAGTCTATCATTGAGGGGCATTTGGGTTAGTTCCAAGTCTTTGCTATTGTAAATAGTGCTGCAATAAACATACGTGTGTGTGTGTCTTTATAGTAGAATGATTTATAATCCTTTGGATATATAACCAGTAATGGGATTGCTGGATCAAATGGTATTTCTGGTTCTAGATCCTTGAGGAATTGCCACACTGTTTTCCACAATAGTTGAACTAATTTACACTCCCGTAAACAGTGTAAAAGCATTCCTATTTCTCTGCATCCTCGCCAGCATCTGTTGTTTCCAGACTTTCTAATGATTGCCATTTTAACTGGCGTGAGATGGTATCTCATTGTGGTTTTTATTTGCATTCCTCTAATGACCAGTGATGATGAGCTTTTTTTCATGTTTTTTGGCTGCATAAATGTCTTCTTTTGAGAAGTTTATGTTTATATCCTTTGCCCACTTTTTTTCTCCCATTCTGTAGGTTGCCTGTTCACTCTGATGATAGTTTCTTTTGCTGAGCAG